ACTCTTGGGTTGGAGGCCATCACTCTTAGGTTGGAGGCCATCACTCTCAGGTTGCAGGCCATCACTCTTAGGTTGGAGGCCATCACTTTTAGGTTGGAGGCCATCACTCTTAGGTTGGAGGCCAGCGCTTTTAGGTTGGAGGCCACCGCTCTTAGGTTGGAGGCCAACGCTGGTAGGTTGGAGGCCAACGCTGGTAGGTTGGAGGCCATTCCTCTTAGGATGGAGGCCATCGCTATTGGGTTCGGAGCCATTGCTAGTACGTTGGCCATCGCTTTTAGCTTGGAGGCCATCGCTATTAGGCCATCGCTAGTTATTAGGTTGGAGGCCATCGCTCTTAGGAAGGAGGCCATCGCTAGTGGGTTGGAAGCCATTGCTAGGAGGCTGACAGGTATTCGTGCCATCGAGGTGCATTCAACTCCTTCTTCGGCTCTTCGGTCTTGGAGTATGGCAAGTTCTTCACCAATGTCTTCGTGGAGGGCCTCAAGCGGCCAGACGTCTTGGCTCAGCAGCTTTGGGGCGAGCACACCACATCGGTGCCGATTTCACAGAGGCGACGACTTGGGCGGCGACTTTGGGGATTGCCGGCGATGTGATTGTGTTTGTGGTTCAACATATACAACTAAAAGGCTATAGGTTCAACCGGCTGGCAAAGTGTGGGTGCCTTTACAACTAGCTGGTGACACTGCTTGCCGATCTTTGCGAACGGATCCTTCTCAAAGCCTGCATCCGACTTCGCCCGATGACTCCAGTCCTATCAAAGGCGATACAAGGGAACTTGCCGTGTAGAAAACGGCTTGGAACGGCTTAGAAGCGACTTGTAAAGTTGACAAAGAAACTAGGTAAGCTGAAGTAGAACCAACGTGTCGAGAATGTTCCCCCCGAAAAACCGCACTCTCTCATAACTCAGTAAGTGACGTCCCGAGGAAAACGATTTGAAACCGTGCGAGATGATTCGGAGCATATCAACATGGTCAAAAACTCGCGACACATCGTCAACAAATCGAAGGCCGCCTTCAGCAAAACATTTCAACTCACATCGGCAAAACCGATTTTCGTACTAAAGCCGACCCAAACCGTGAGAAAAACCTCGAGATGGTGTGCTAAGTTTTCAAGGCAACACACTATGCCGCACAGTATCATGTAGTAGCATTTGTTCAAAAAATGCCATATAGTCCCTTTTGACTTAATAACGATGGCCTCCAACCTAATGCCTGTTTATTGCTGTAACATCATTTTGGGTTTTCTCGTACTGTTTGCCAGGAAGTGGAATCAGTACATTGCTTCTGCCATGAAACTCATTGACGCAGATGATCAGATTGCTCAACATGCTCAACAACAGGTGTGGAGCGAGCGGAGCGAAATGGGAAAGAAATGGAAAGACCATCTTAGGTTCGAGGCCATCGCTAGTAGGTTGGAGGCCATCGGTAATACGTGAGGCCATCGCTAGTAGGGTTGAGGAGGGATTGGATGGATTTTGGAATCAGAAAAGGGTTGACTCCAGATTTAAGCCTTTGGAAGTGCTTATCCTAGAAGGGTATTGTCTAGTGATTGGACATCGAGATTGAAGCTCTTTGGCGGGGCTTCAAATGTCCACCAGTGTCAAATCAGCAATGCGTCCACCATCTGGATTTAATCTATCGACAATGCGTCCACCGTGACCGGAAAACTTCCAGCTTTTCACATATTCTCTGGTTGGACGGCTCGCGCTTCACAATCTCCTTCGTGTTTGGCGCCAAGGGACACGTTGCCTCATGGTTATTGTTCAGGTGAACTATATACACTTGCCCCCACACAGTGGATCAAGGGCGGTGGTTCAAAAGTGAGCTGCCAAGTGCACCTACCACAGTCATATTACCTCCAGAGTTCATTCCCTAGAGCAGCAAACGTAACATGGCCAAATCATTGCTGTCACAGCACCAGTGGACCCACCCTGAAGTCAAGCCCTGAAGCATGGAAGCTGACAAGCAAAACAGACAAAGTCCAAATCACAACTCTTCCAAGACACTGGCAAAGGAAAGGAAGGGTTGACTCTGGATTCTATCCACGTAAAGGTGGCAGGCACCACTAGGTAAAATTGGATGGAATCTGGAGTTAAGCCTTTTGAACTCCAGATTCCATCCAATTTGGGGTAGGTTGGACCAGAACGGCCTTTGAAGAAGTCGTAAACCGCGGACGGAGCCAGGCGGCCCTGCTGAAACCCAAGAAAGATATATACAGAATACCCAAAGTCGTTCATTACAACTGTAAAGAAGCTATTAGTAACAAGTGCATCGCTACTAGCAACAAGGGCCTTACTAGTAGTAACAAGAAGCTAATAAAAAACAAGAATTAGACTTTTTTCTAATAGCTGAAAACAGTTCGTTTTCGCCCAGGTCGACATGCGCACGAAGCATTTCTACCGCACAATGCCTCCCAAGAGTTTTGTGGCCGTGAACCGCCGGGAATGGGAGGAGTTGCATCAACGGCTTAACGGAGGGGAGCCTGTGCCGAAGGACGGACCGATGTTTCGCAAGTTTTTTTTGTTTTTGTTAGCTTCTTGCTACAAGTAAGGCCAGGAGTGCCTAGTCGCGTTCTTGTTCCTAGTAGCGATGCCCTTTGCTCCCAGTAGCTTCTTGCTACTACGTGTTTTCTGAATAAATGGACTAAACAGCACCAAGCCGGGATCTTTGAGATGCCGTGTGGACATCGTTCATGAACCAGAAAGCAAGCCCACCCAAGTCAATCATCATTCAGCTTAGTAACCACATAGATTACCACTGACTGAACATATTCCGCAGGAGCAGCAACTGCCCTATCTCTTCGATGAGATCCCTGCTTGGTGTTGAGCGTGTGACTTGCAGACGTTCAAGGCTCACAATTCCCTAGTACGTGTTCTAGGCAAATCCTGCACAGATCCGATGGCAGGGTCATGTCCATTTGTGGGACATACCGGTTACATGATGGGTGCAAGGACACCTTCCATGGCTGTGGCTTTTCACGGGTGAGATAGACGGCCCTGATGCATGAACATGCATTCGGATCACCATGCATCATTTTGGATGAAGTTTTGCATGAGTGATCGGAATGTGATGAATTTGTGAAGTTTTGGAGTTGCAGAACGCACAGATTCTGGAACTGATTTTCTGCGTCGGTTTCCGACGCAGTCGTTGGACCATCTGCATCCTGACGTACAGATTTCATCTGACTAGATGGTCTGAGAGACCAGTTGCTATGGGCGAAAACGAAAGACATATTCTGCTGTTGAAAAAGTTGTTGGACAAGCTGCACGGCAATGGTTCCGGCCACACACCCATTGACACAAAGATTCCCAATCTGCATAGAAGGATGATAACGAAGATTACAGAGACCACATCAAAATATTTTCCTATATATATCCTCTCCCCACCTCCCCCTTCCCTCCCACCTTCCCTCCCTCCCTCCCTCCTCCCTCTTCGCAAGTTCGACTCCGTCCTGTCGTCGCTCTTTGGCATGCGGTTAGCGTTGCGTATCTTGCGGCCGCACTCGCTCACTCTCACTCTCACTCTCACTCTCACTCTCACTCTCACTCTCACTCTCACTCTCACT